AGAGAGAGAGAGAGAGAGAGAGAGAGAGAGAGAGAGAGAGAGAGAGAACATACACACATAAATATATATATACAATCGCGTAATCATGAACACAGGAATTTATGATGCTAGGCTCTGCGTCGATGTGTATGTGTGTTTTGGCTTGTAAACGGTATCGGGACAACCATTTTTTCACTTTTTCCATCCGACAATAATGTTATATCCATTGTTACGGACCGAAAAACATTCATTGGTCATAGTACAAAAAAGAAACAGAACTAAAAATAAATTTTAATAAACCAGTCGAATACATTACTTCGGACACATGCATTTAACACAATAGCTAAGGGAATTTTCCCACATTCGTGCTCACTTAAAGAAGCAGAGAGAAAGAAAGAAAAACTTGAACAACAGACATCAACGAATGATATTCGATTTCTCTTAATAGCCAATTGCCATAGTAATGCATTAGAAACCGACTTGACGACCGAGACAACAATAGTGTAATTCATCGCTAATGAGGTATAATAACCATCTTATTCAAGTGATGCCATACGGGCCGAAAATTCTAATTAGAATTGGCCAATATCCCATGTATTTATGACAGAATGGCACCCAATAACCCCAATAACAGCTAAAGCAATTATTGAGTTGCTTATCAAATGTGTTCCATTTTCTATTGTCACACAGTTACTAACACCATTTCCACGAATCGTTCTTGACGCATTTCATTTTTTTTTTTTGACAACTAAATATAATCGATTTTGTGTCGAAGTCGCGAATCGCAAATTTCAATTGGGTTGAATGTGAAGAAAAAAAATCGACCATTAACCTGAATTTGCACATGAATATAGCTATCGTTTCGTGTTGATTGTATAAAATGTAAAAAAAAACCAAAAAAAAATCCACTTACCAATTGTCTGCTTAGTTTTTGCACGAAAGTTGGACTAACGGTGAAATTTATTGCTTTGTGTTTCCACTTGAAAAAGCAATTTTATGAACAACTCTTTGTTGCTGTACTGCTATAACTATATTGTTTGGAATTCCGTTAATTATAAGCATAAACGAATGAACAAAAAAAATTGTCTTCAAAAAAAAGTACACCGCACTTTGATTTCCGTTTTAATTCCTTGTTTTGAATCTGGAGTTTTTTTTCTCTGTGTTTTTCTTTCCAACTTTTTTTTTCTTCTTCTTTTAAACTAGAAATGAAAATGAAAACACTTTTTTCTTGCAAAATATCAACAGCACAGGCATTTTTGGAGACATGCACAATTCAAAACCGTTACAAACATGAAAAATACACCACGCGAATGAATTGAACGGTGCGCAAAAAAATGTATATTGCAGTCCGTCAATATAACAAACACTAAATAATTTTTTTTTAGCTCGGTAAGTTTAATAATTTATGAGCCACGAGACAAACCAAAATCGATGTGACTAAATCTAATCTGTATAAAACAGATATACACACACAATAATATAACGCTTAAAGCGGAAAAATGCAATTGTTTGATTTTATTTTTCGCTCAATGTGTCTTTTGTCCAATAAAAATGCTCTTTCATTTCAAGCGATTTCAAGTATTTTCGTCTTTGTTATTTCATACAATGCACTGAATGCTGTTGTTGTTTTTTAGTTTATTTTCCACTGTTCCACCATGTCAATTGAATTCACACAATTTGCTACTGCTGCTGCTGTTGCTGCATTGAATGCGTTTTCGCCTTTTTATTTTCATGCCATTCAAATTGTATTGAAAATGGACTTAAATTGAAAATGATCTGTGATTTAAAAAAATTGTTCCTCAATGATGACTATAAATTATTGGTTCATTAAAAAATTTACAGCAACAATAAGAGTGAAAAAAAAAACCACACAACACATTACGTCAGATGGAAAATATTGCGCGAGACTTTAATTTCAATTGAACACTAAAAAAGAAAATTTTCTTCTTCTTTGTTTCACCACATTCAATTTAGTAAACGATGCGAACGTACAGTGAAAATGAAAATTGGCTAGCGTTTCGAGGAATTAAATAAAAGCAATACGCACTTTGTGCACTCTGAAATATATAGAGATATAATCACAACACAACAAATGACAGACAATTATTCACTAGATTTTTTGATGGCTTTTGCTATGGATGATCTGCTGTTTTTAGTTGATTTTTTTTTCTCCTTTGCTTGTGAATTTAGTTTTTTTTTTCATTGTGGTCGTCGTCGTCTATTCACACAATTCTAAGGTTTATGTGGCTTCGTTCGTGTTTGTATGTCGTCGTCGTCGTCGTCATTGTTGTTACTGTTGTTGTTGAATATAGACGTTCAACAAAGAGATTTCTCACACTAGTTCAGTCTGGGTCGTGTATGAATTTAATGTTTTGATGCGATTTCAACAAAATGTCTGTGTATGTATATGTGTAGGGGGCGCTGCATACATCTGAATACTACAATAATTTGTGGCGCAATTCACGATATACACACAATCGAAACATGGTCGTTATTGCAGCGCATTTCGTGTCAATGCTCATTCACAAAGGCACATATGAGAAGGCATACACATATACTAGTAGACAATTGCCTTAATGTCTATGTGAAACTCAATTGAATAAATTCAAAATAAAAAAAAGTTTCGTTTTTATGTTGCAGACAATATATTGAACTAACTGGTCAGTTGGGCTGACAGTACGTTAGCCAGCTAAATGGACCAAAACAATAGAAGTTATTGTTATAATGAACAATCACTTCTATTAAAACAAGAAAAGTGATTCATCATTAAAACAATAACGTCTATTGTTTTAGCCCATTTAGCTGGCTAACGTACTGTCAGCTCAACTGACCAGTTAATTCAATATATTGTCTGTTATGTTGACATTATATCTTTATTTGTTTATTTTTAAGTTTTTTTTTTTGCTTGCTTTTTTTTTGTACATATGTTGATGGAATCTATTAACTGGAGATTTTTAATCCATATTTAAAGTTTTTTTGATACGTTTAATTTCGTTAATTTGTGTTTCGATTTGAGTGTTTGATTCGCCAATTATCTCTTTCAGCACGGTTTCTTGCTTCGGTTGCAACGTTAGCACCTTGGCCGGTTTATCTGTTGTGGTTATTCGTTGTTGTTTTTCCATTTTTTTCTTGCACGCCGCAATATTGTTGGCCAAATCTTTTGTGATCGCATGAATTTTGTTGATTTGTTCGCTGAAATTGCGTTCGGCAACTAGTGCGGATGGCATTCGTAAATTAATCAAACGTAGAATTTCATGCAAGCTTTTCATTAGCGCTTGTTGTCGATCGTTGATTTCTTCATACTTCTCTGCCAAATGTTCAGCATTCTCTCGCAACTTACACTTTTCCTGTAACAATTCGGCCACTTCTTGGCGTTGCTGTTCGTCCAGTACGCGCAGAATTTTTACACGTTGTTCAATTTTTTGACGAACACTATCGTGCTTTGAAATATATTGATCGCGCAGTCGTTGAAATGCATCCAGCAATAATTCAAGTGATTCTTTTGGTGTTCGTTCATTCAATTTTAGAATCGGTTGTGTTGTGCCTGATGCCAACATTTGACGAATACTTTCGACAAATGAACCGGAAAAAACTTTTGAATTTAACATGGCCGACTCGGTGGTCTCTTTTGGATTTTCACTTGACGAAGCCGATGACCGAATATTTCGCAGAAATGATGGATTTGTAATGACATTGAGAGTAACCACCTGACCACTGCTTAACACCAGTACTAGACCTGGTGGACTTTGTAGCAAACAAAAACCAACCTAAAATCAAAATAAAATTCACGAAATTAGAGAAATTAATCGATTTGAAAAACGCAAAAAAAAAACAACTCAACCAACCACAGCATTCAATTTTGCGTCCAATGCCACGAGATACTCTGAGTTTCCTTTGAAATTGCTCAGAATGGATTCAATGTCAATGGAATCACCTGAAAAGACAGAAAATAAAGAAGTGAACGATTGAAAAGTGAAAATAGAGGCGATATTATTACGTTACCATTATCCTCAAAATATCGCTGAAGAGTTGGTAAAAATTCAATCGAAATAGCATGCAGACCAGCATTGTGATAGACAAAGTACCGTGAGTCATTGTTTATGTCAGCCTTCAGGAATATCTGATTATTTTCGTCATCTTTGTTTTCAGTGCTTTTCAAACCAAACTCCAATTCAACCACTTCAACAACCTGAGGGTGAAACATTTATACATAATGTAATGAATTCGATACTTTCTAAATAGAATCGCAGTAATTATAAAGTATTTCTTACATTGACAATCCATTCGCATGGTTCGTACTTCAAACCGTTTTCATCATAATTTTCCGAATTATTTAGTTCGGCTTCGGATTCAACCAAAATCATATGAAATAGCCGTCCACTCGATTCAGCCACGACCAATGTAGTTGGATTCGATGGCAATGCCAATATAGTGCATGAGTCCAAACCATAATTATCCTTTGTACTTGGATAAATTGTTAATGGGCCTTGAATGCGTGGCTTATCTGTGTCTAGACCAATCAATGCAATGTATAAATTACCATTTCCGAAAAGGATCACCAATGGCCATTCCACATTTTTCGTCGATGCACCTCCATTAACGGTTGTATCATTGTTTGTTGTATTCAACGTTGTGTTCGCATTGGCCATTGCTGTAACGCGCGGTGCCGATATATCAAAATCAACCGCTGTATCTCCAAGACTATTCAAATATGGTAATGATGATCTGGTTGGTGCACATGGTGTGGGACCGATTTTCCAAATGTGCTGCAATTTCGCTTCATCATAAGTCCGAATCGAATTATTCGACAATAATACCATCAAATTGCTGTCTTTGGGTGAAGCCGGATGCCATCGAACCTGTTGGATGCAAACCAATGTGTTTGATGCAAAGTAATTCTCGTCCAAAATGTGTGTGGTGCACAAAATTCGCGGTTTTCCCTCTTTATATTGACCATTCGGTCCATAACGGCATGGAATTTCCATGATTGCAACACCACGACTACCGCTCAGTGCAAGATATTGTCCCTCATGTGAGGCTGTCACTTTGTTCACAACATAGTCGACCGGTGTGGATGGTATCAACGTTTGAAAATTGACATTATCATCGCCTTTTGTCTGTGCCAATCGCCAATTGAACGCAATCACACAACAGTCCGATGGATTCCATGCGAAAAGCATATCATCTTTGCACTCGATCAGATTTTGTGTGTTCACTGTACGATTTGAAATGGCCTTTCTCAGCTGCTCAAAAAATGGTTGCGTCTCGAATCGAAACGTATCCGTACACGTTTTTGGTTTATTCATTTTTAAATCACTCTTTTCTTAATAACTTCTTTATTTTTTATTCAATTTCAATCGGGGAAGAAAAAAATGTATTATGTAGTTATAGAAACATTCTTTGAATAGAAGTGTCGATGCGAACAAACAAAATGACATGTATAAAATACCGCTCAAAACGTCTTTGTCGAAAATGTTGTGTCAAATAGACATTCTTTTTTTAGGTTAACACACTTGAAATGAGCATTCACAATAATGTGTGATATGTGTCGGACGTGCAGATGGTATGCCATATGTATTGGTATTAGACACAAATAAACCAAGTTTCGTTCGTTTGACAGATGCTTTGTTTTGGTTTTTTCGCTGTATGTATTCGAATCGAGTCTCTCGTGTATTTAAATACAATCTTACGAAATCATATGTTTCACAATGCATAGATTGTGTTCTAATAAGTGTCAATGGCATAAATAGAGCATGTGAATTGTTCATCGTTTGTGTCACACAACATACCGAAACACACAACCGCAGTTTTTATAGGACATTTTTTTATTTATAATAAAATGATATCATAAGCAGTTTATTGTGACATTTTTATTTATATAAAATATTCGAATTTCGGAATTGACAGCTTTAACAAAACAGTGTGATGGACAATATTCGAAAAGATATCGATTTATATCGTGACACAGCCTTAAGATACTGCGGTAACATTATTACTATTTCTTATTACAATCACTTTTTCTATTTTGCAGTATGTATTTTATGATTATTTCATTTGATTTTAAGGCTATGCAAATGAGGTGGGAGAAGCACTAAGGCCATTGATTCCTAAAAAAGTGGTTCATTTGAGCTATGGCGTTGCTGTAGCTTATGTAATTGGTGACTGCATCGATAAAACTGGAAAAACGTACAAGGTAACGTAAAAATGTAAAATGATGCTAAATCATGAGCAAAAACTTATCAAATTTCCATTGCAGAAACCAAAAATATTGGGTGGTCAACAAATTACTGAAGCGGCCAAAACTTGCGGCGATGTATTTCTCTGGCAGATGCTTGCTTCTGTCATAATTCCCGGATTTGTTATTAATCGTGTAACATGGGGTACAGGGTACCTCATGAAACGAAATAAAAAGCTGCCCAGCATTGCACGCAAATGGTTACCAACCATTGTTGGCCTTGCGGCCATTCCCCTCATCATTCGGCCAATCGATAACGCGGTTGACCATGCAATGGACAGAACCTATCGCAAATACGTGTAAAATGTTCAAGATCAAATGAAATATTGGTGCTCAAATACAATTTAATTCCTTTGAAAGCCTTTCTAGTGATTTTAGTGAACTCTGCCATAATTTTTGTAAACTCTATTTGAATGTGTAATGAAATATTTCTTACATACCAAAAAAAAACATGACGCAATATAAATTCAATTTATAGCATTTAATTTTATCTATTAGAAAAATAGAATATGTCTATTTTTTAAATGGTTCACTCGTTCAAATGTTGTAAACTTTACACCTGCTGTGGAATAAATTCCAAATCTAAATCAAATAATTGTTGGTGTTTATTTTAATCCAAATATGGATAGATAATGGTTGGATTTGGTGTTCTCCAGGTAACTCGGTGACACTTGCTGCTATGGGAAATTGAAATTTTTCTATTTTTCAGAGGACACACATCTTGGCCATGAGTCCAAGCTATTTGGTGCTGATTTTTTGAAATCAATTTTGAAATTGTATCGATTTTTCTTGACGAATTTTTCGGTCGTCTTCCGCCATAGAATTGTCGACAATAAACTCGCAGTGATATAAAGTATACGATTTCGACCAATGAAACCACACTGAAACCCATGAATAAGCCCAATAATCCGCCAATATTTGCTAAAAAAAATATTTTGTTTGAATTGAGATATGAAATGAGTGGTTTTTTTATGAAACTCAACATAGAAACTCTGTAACGCCAATAAGCTCATCTTTAACGTAGCTTCGAAAAAAACTTTCTGCATAAAATACTTGAACAATTGCTACGTCCCGCCTAAAATCGTGTAAAAAATGAATAAACTAGAGAAGAAATCATCAATTGCATGCATTTACCTTATGACTTCGTCGGTAAAATTCTGAAGATGGTTTTCCAATTGAAAATTGGTCTTTGTCAGTGTTGCACTTGATATTTCACCCGTAAAACTCAATTCATCACAACCCGGCAAGCATGCACATGTATATTTTGCATTGTCTCCGCGTTCAAGAGACAATCGCACGGAATTGTAACATTTACTTTCGGCTCGATTACAGACTTTTGTGTTTTGAGTAATCATCGGCATGAAGTATTGAACACAACCGCACACCTGAAAATAATGTTTCAACAATTAATACACGATCAATACTGAATAACAAATTGGATGAGGTAAGATTGAAGAAAACCTGTTCGACAAAGCGAGAAAAACATTCCATCTCGCAATTTTTACGAGAATATGTGCTGATTAAGAGAATATAACATAAATTAAAAATGGATAACATCAAAATGTGACAGACTGTTACCGAAAATAGCTGAGATTTGCTTCGTTCGCAAAAATGCACTGTCTGCTTTCTATTGGAATACGTCGTATGCGATGGGATGCCGTTTGTATTTTTGGCCTGATCGTAATGCGTGATTCACGGCCTGGTGCAACTAATAGCCCAAAGTCGCTAATACAAATAAAAAAATTGAATTAAAAGAAAACAAAAATTGAATAAAAAGGGTAACCTGATGCGCGGAGTTTCAGTTGGATTGTGTAGTAGAATTTTGAAACCTGCACTGTTTGTTGAACTACAATAGTAGTCCGACGTTTCACTATCAAGTATGACATACAGTCCCAAGTGTGAGCCAGGTCCTAGTATTGCGTGACAAAATTCTATTTTATACACATGTAATATGAAAAATTTATTATGAAATTACCTGCTGCGGGTCTGGGTGAAGATTTTTGTTTTAGCTCTGAATTCACAGGATAGCCCACTTCTGGCGTCCAATCAATCGGTGTACCGAATTCTTCAGAATGAGCATCATCATCGAAATTGCTCGAAGCGCTTCCACGCAAAATTTATAAGAAAAACAAAAACGATTTTATAAATTATCGACAAATCTGTAATACAGCAAAACAAAAACGAATACCAACTTTGTTGGATTTTTGAAGAGAAATTTTGGTTCGGCCTTATTGAATGTGCAACAAATTCCTTCGTCGCTTAGATTTGTATCGAAAATGTCCATACAGTTGAATGTATCCAATGCATAACGGCACATCAACAGCATGGCACTACATGGCTGCGAAATGTTCAATAAATATTGTTTAAATGAATCCCATTCTCCCATTTTTTCCCATTCCCTCAATGGCACGTCATCATTTTTCACCGTACTATTTGCATACTCATCCATGCAGATATTTTGTAGCCAAGCACTTTGACTTGAACCACTCACAAATTGATTTGCGATACTATAACGAGCTTTATTGATATTACAAATGGTAACTAAAATTGAAAGGGCTGCATTTTACTGTTCAATTATAAAATAAAACATTTAAAAATGTGTTGTTTTGTTATGATACCTGATGGGAATGGCATATCAGTAATAGAAGTTGATGTTGCACTCATTGTCTTCTCATCGACACCGACATACAAATTATGGTTTTTTTAAAAATGATTCGAATTAATATAGATAAAGGTATTCTCACCACTAATACCGGGCTTTTCGACCATTTTTCATACACATTCGAAATATAGTAAAGCGACAGCATAAACACCAACGAAAATGAACAAACGAAAAATATTCTGAAAAAATGTGATATTTTGAGTATAATGAATTTCAATGAAAAAATCAATCATTACCGTTCAAATAATGTTATATTGCTGTCGGACAAACATAAAAATGTATTAATGATAAGAACATTTTATTGGCCTTTTGGTAGCAAGTGTAATTTTAAGTAATTTTTTTTTACACAGATTACCGTATATTAATAAAAAATAATTAATAATAATTTTCCATATAAATCGATCTAAAATTACACTTTGAATCGACAGATTCATTACGGGCTGAAGTAAACTGAATTCGTTGAATAAATTATGGTCCAATTTGAAATTACCTGTCGGCTATATACTTCATTCCATGCAAAGAGGAGTTGTCCAAATATTCTCTTACATTTTCGCCGCAAAAAACACCCTGAATATCTTCATCGCAATTTTCTCCCTTTGGCGTTGCTTTGTCCTTCTTGTGTCGATTTCTCAGAATTGACTTTCTTGCGTCGTTTGGTTTTAATTTACTTTGAATCAAATGCGATCTGAACATGATGCTTTTGTTTCGAAATCCAAACAAATACTAGTTTATCTAATTAGACTCACTTTTCCTTTATATATCGTCTTTAAACACACAAAAGAAAGAAAAAGCTCCCCAAGCAAAAAAAACACCTGGATATTTGGAGTACTCTTTTTATTTCAATTAATTAAGACAAAAGCCAAATATTTCGAAAAAACAACATTTAATTACCAAACAAATCATTGAAACAACTGGCCACGCATAGAAACGACAATTCACAAGCACTAAAATTAAATATCGATTGTCAACTTTGAATAAAATATCCTTCAAGTGCAAAGATGCGACTCATAAATGAGAAATAACTCTGCTAAAATGAATAATTGTGTGATTTATCAAGATTGTATACCATGATTAAAGTTATTCAAACATTTTAAAATCGATTCAAGCACACATGGTAACAGTGAGTGAACTAGCCCAGTGAAAGCGATTACGTTCACATGTTATGCATTATTAATCTTGATTACACTTTTTCAATGTAAATTAAATATTTATTTGGTGAACTCTTATTCAATCTATGTAAGGAAACACAGGATGGTTAACGTGTTTTGCGACAATAGATTTTGAGACTTTATCCGATTTCCTGCCGAAACGATTTCGAATCTTGTGGAAAAATTTTCGAAATGTTCGGCGTCGGCTCTCGGAAATTCTCAAGTAATTGCAGTAAGGACGGATTGACATAAAGTAGAAGAGCTCAATGACTGAAATGACACTGAATCCCATGAAAAGACCTTGATGCGACAAAAAAGAGAGTATTTCATTTCGTGAAAATGTGCGGACTGTTAAAAATGAAATAGAAAAAAAGTACCCACCAAGTAAACCACCAGTGTTTGCTGTAATTAGGTAAATTGAGAGTATTAATCAAATTGAATAATCCATTAAAATGAGACAAAAACCTACATAGAAATTCTGTAAAGCCTATTAGCTCTTCTTTACGCTGTGCACGTACTGAGGGTTCTTTGAAATAGATATTTAGTACGGCAGTGTCTGATACCACTAATTTTTTCCCCTGTAAAAGTGGAGACTGTGGTAAAAGCGGTGAAAGTGAAATTTCTGTTTCATATGCTATTGCATAGCATCCTGGCAAACATTCGCATATAAAGCTTGAATTTGTCTTTGTCCGTAGTTCACGAATTACTCTGTTGACACACGGATTATCTGAGCGTCCACAAATATTTATGTCCTCATGGAAACGGGGCATGTAGTAGAGAACCTGCAATAAACACACATGTAATAATTTTTTCAACTTGCAACTGGATGCATCCAGTAGTAATCAGTATAGTTGGCAGAGTCTTTAAGCCAAAGTAACAACTTTTCTATGTTGTTCATTGATAACTAACGCTTAAATTGTATCGTGAACGTACGCAATCACAATTCGTCAAAAAGATCCTTGCCTCGCATTCCATTTGACAGTTCTGTAACAAGGAAATGTTTTCATTTTTTGAAAATGTATAAAAAGCATAGAAAATATTACCCGTCTGGAGTACGTTCTGAAAAGAATTTCAACAAAGAATTTAGTTTTTGATGATAGACATTGGGTGTGAAGAAGAAGGAAATTACCTATAAAATATTAATTCGTTTTCACTTTCAAATAAGCATTGTCGAACACTTTTCGGAACTTTACGAACAGAATATGATGCTTCAGACAATGTTGGTATGACAATGATTCTTGTTTCGTATCCATTTGCTACCGCAGTACCAAAGTAGGCAATTTTGGGCGTTTCATTTGGAGAATGCAGCAATACTTTAAATCCATAACTGTTCGTGCTGGAACAGTAATATTCTTCTTCGGCCACATCCAATAAAAGAAACAATCCTAAATTGTTTCCAGTTCCTGATATTCGAAATTGATTTTTGGCTTTGGAAAAGTTTAAATATAATAATATTAGATATCATTATTGGTAATTACCAACAGCTTGTCGTGGTACACCGTCTTTTTTGTTTTTTAAATCATCTGGGTTGTATCCTTTCTCTGGTGACCAATCTTTATCACCATCTACTGTCTCGCTACCATTTGTTGTTAACAGTTGTTGTTGACTTGAAAAATAATACCGACATTTTATTAACAATTCAAGTAAAAATTCACTGATTTAGTCACACTAACCTGTACTTGTCTTTTGCAATAGATTATTTTTTTTAATTGCAAATATGGATAAAAACTGTATAAATGTATTAAAATGATTCAAAAAATAAATACCTTTCATAAGTCGCTGTTCACTTAAGCCATTGAAAATGCAACACAAACCCTCATCCGTGAGAATGCTAATGAATCATATTATCCGATTACTTACATTATTCAACTCAGAACAATTCAGAATAACATTTAAAATCATACCTTTTGAAAAGACTCATGCATTCGGATTCGAAACCACCATAGTCGCACCTTTTATTTAAAAAAATAAAAAAACAATTATGTAATTCAATTTTAGTTTCAGCAACAGAAATTTTTTATCAGGCTATGTGTTCGTGCTGATTTCAGCAGGCACTGATATTTCTATGGACATATAGACGACGTGTTATGTCTGTCAATAGATCGTGAAATCGACTAAATTGGCATATATTTGCATAATTTATTAGAAATCCAAATAAGTCGGCTCAAAAATGACCTTTGGCTTTACAAATTTATTACGGAAAACGGCAAATACATAAATAAATACCTTATAAGCATTTGGTCACATGGTTGAGACACCTACAATTGTTAAATTCATCAACAATAACAAGAATTTCAGTAAACATTACACATTCAAAAGAATTCTGCTTAATTTACCTTTAGTAGCACTCTTTTGAAGTCATGCCACTTTCCTGGCTTTGTTGTATTGCTATCATCATAGCGGGAAAGTGTACATAAACTTTGGACCAGCGAATAATCAACGGTGAAGCGGGGAATTTTGTCAACAGCACTTTTTTTAGCTTGATTCATGTTACCTACGGATAACCAGAAATATCTGTTATAAAATGGACTTTTACGTGCTTAATTACCTCACAAATCGTCACGGCGGGGAATGGAAATTCCGAAATAGGCGTCGAATGTGCATTCAGTGTCTACAAATTTAGTTAAGATTTTCAAATATCTAGAAATACAATATATACAGTTTATTTACAATTATCATCGGCGACGCAGACCTGCAATGATAATAATTAAAAATATTTAAAGCGGGTAAAAGTGACATTTTTGTTTCATATTTCATGTGTGGTTTTCAAAGGAAAAAAGTCATCGACGATGCTGACCACTTGATCCATATGTTGGTTATGAAATAAATGGAGAATAAGAAAACCAATAAAAACATTGCACCAAAGAAAAGCCGTTCGAATAGAGTAATTTTTCGATCTCCAACATAGCGTAAACCTAAATACAAATCCAAACTATTTTTATTTGTGTTATTATAAAAAAATTATGAAAAGTCTTTGACTATTTCAAACCGTGTAGAGTGGTGTTCATCAAATATTGGTTGAAATTTTCTTTGCAAGTAAGGCGTACGTTTCTCTTTGTTTCACTGTCAATCGACAAAATCCTGTGCTCGGTTTGTTCTCTTTTCCGATGACCATAGGTATATTGTAATTCTGGTTGGAAACACTTTTTATTCCGATGCGACTGCAAATGAACCCCATTTAAAGAGTGCATTTTGAAAACTTTGCCATTTCATTGCATTCAATCGCCTTTTATATACACAATTGGGCGTCCCTAAATTATAGCTCATAATATTTGCCATTACGAATGCCATCATTGTTTGCATCACAAAACAAATTCTGTTCGAAATCCATTCATGAGTTTTAACTCCAAACGACAAAAAAAAACAATAAAATGCACGCTTATGTCTGATACATGACACGTGGAGAAAATGGTATTTTATGTGTTCATGTCAAGTGAACGTAGGTTGACGAGGCACAACACTCGAAATATTTATCATACAAAATTGATAAAGCCTATTGATAAGGTAAAAATGTTTTATATTGCATAATAATTGCCATTGCAAATAAAGAAAACCGAGATTGACTGTTGATACCAAATGATCCAAGCTCGAGATTTGTCGAAATTATTACTTTCTAATTGCGCTACATTTATTATTTGCAGTAGTCAAACAATGCAAAACAAAACACGGTTTCAATTGAAGAAAATGCACAATTTATTTTGATTTTTATAATGAACGTGTTTATTTAAACAAAAAAAAACATAATAGTGGTGCTTGTTAATGTAAATTTCATATATTCACAACGTTCATGGCAATATATATATGATCACAACGTTCACCCTCCAAAACATACTTTTAATTGACACAAATTCATTTTGAGATTGGAAAATTCCTGTTATTCGTCATCGCTGAACAATCAACATTCGTTCTCATATTTTTTTTGCCTTTCAATTTTACCTTATTAAATCGTCGGAATAAGCGTTGAATTGATTGTGGACGCTTTTCTGAGAACTTGAAATACGGTCGAATTGATACGAAATATAAAACTTCTATGACTGAAAAAACACTGAAACCCATAAATAATCCCAACAGGCCTCCAATGTTTGCTGCGAACAACACAAACAATGCTTCAGTTTCAAGGAAATAAGTAAATCAATTTGGATTAATTACATAAAAATTCCGTAAAACCAATGAAAACTTCTTTGTCTTGTCCTCTATAATAACCTCGCTGATAGTAAACATGCAATATGGATGCATTGATTGCTGTTAGACCTTTTTGCGTGACTTGTGGTGAATATTCATGAATCGGCATGGTGGAAAATCCCATGTCGAATTTAATTCCGTCACAGCCATAGAAACAATCACATTGAAAACTGTCATTTAGCCCCAGTTGAATTTCTTATACAAATACATTTAAAATGCATTTCACAATTTTAACCCGAACAAATCCAGTTTCAAAACGTTACAGCACACTTTAATTACCTTGTTTTACATTATTATAACATTCGGCATCACTTGGACCGCAAATTGGTATATTGTTATTAGCCCGAGGTTGGTGGTACAGAATACATTTGCAATTTTCCAGATAAAGTTTGGTAATACACTCACTTTCGCAGTTCTCTCGCGAATAAACACTGCAAATGATAAATATAATACTTATTCGACGGCATTCGAGTGATGATAAAATATAATCAAAAAGTTATGATTAACTCGCCGAAAAAATGTTAAAAAGCTCTCATCTTGATAGACGCATTGTCTGATATTGATGGGTGTTTTTCGAACGGATTCTGACGTGCTCGAAATCATCGGCAAGGCAATGATGCGGGATTCGTGACCATTGGCAATACCAAGTCCAAATGAATCGACCTGAGGCAACTCGTGTGGTGCATGTAAAACTACCTTGAAACCAAATCCACTGGTTGACGAACAATAGTATTGATTTAAAGCTGCATTCAGAGTAACAGAGAGTCCCAACCGAGCTCCAGCACCTTTGAAAAAATGATTAGTTTGGCTTTTTTGTAATTATGAATATCAAACGGTAAATTGCCTGCTCCAGGGCGTGGATAACTATCTTTGTTTAATTTCAAATCCTTCGATCCAAATCCAGTTTCTGGATTCCAATCATTTGCCATACTCTCCAAATAATCATTATCATTCAGTTCCTCTGATCGACTTTGATAAGAAAAAATACAAAATTTAGAGATGTTGCAAAATAAAGTTCATTTTCAGTACTTATACTCTAATTTCATCATAAATTTGCGATGCAATCCGTTAAAGATGCAGCACTTTCCACCGTCAGTGAGTCTGTTCAACCAATTTATTTTATGCTCATCAATTAGATTTACTACTAATGAAATAATTTTCATTTTTTCAGGAACTATTACGCGCTGGATTTATCAACTGACCGGATCTGATAATTGTCATGCGTAATAAATCCAGCCTGTGACAATACCTCAATCGTATTTCCTTACATTGTACTAAAGATCTTCATGCATTCATATTCAATACCTCCATACTTGCATGACACAAGCATCTCTGCGCATGATTGTGATACCTATTAAGATAACCCATGCTTTTCCATTATTTTATTTTTTGTTCGACGCTGAAGAATATATCTGTTTTCATTGCAAAAAAAATGAAGTTTACCTTAAGTAACACTTTTTTCAAAACTGACCAATTGCCCGCAACCGAACTAGTTATATTATCATCTCTTGTACTTTGACAAATACTTTGTATCATTGAATATTCCTCGCTTGATCGTGGTAAATGGGCCACATCACTCTTTTGCACTAGATTCATATTGCATATTGTGACGGCTGCAGCACTCAAAAACAATCATCGATCTCTTTCATCATTATACAAAAAGTAACAAAAAATAATTGTTTGATAATTTACCTGGGAATGGAATCGAGGTGACTGAAGTTGCAATCGCACTTTCGACTATAATTACTGGACTTGCATTCCACTTGGCCCATATGTTCGATATGAAATACGCGGATAAACCAACCACCAAAATAAACATGCAAACGAAAAAAAACCTAAAAGGGAAAATGAAAATACTTGCACACCGATGCGTTAATATGTAATAATCACGAAAGTTTTTACCGTTCAAAATGAGAAATTTTTCTGTCACCAACATATTTTAGCCCGTGCAATGTCGAATTTAAGAGATATTGAATAAAATTCTCTTGCAGTGTTTTGAAAATGGATTTTTTTGGTGGACTTTGAACACCATGGAAATTCAATTCACTCTTGAATCTTTTCTTTTTTGTCGCACCAACCTGTAGACTTGGCGCAAACATTTTATTTGCGGTGGCTGCTTCCAAAGACAAATGAATTTCACGCGCTTGCTAGTGTTTTTATACCTGAAAAATGTGCATGTCAATCAGCAACTGACAAGAAATATCATTAAAAAAAATACTTGAATATATATGGATTTAGCACGATATTCGATTTAAATTATATTTGGTTAAAAAAATTGTATGCCCTAGTAATTGATTCGACCGACCCCCTCACAAAATCATTCACATTGCAATATGTGTAGCTGAAATCACTTTTATCGATAATGTTACAAAAAAGTAGTTTTATAAATCAAATTACCAATTAATTTTGTAAATTTATCATTATATTTGTAAATAATTCAGGGAATGGTTCGTATATAAAAATCTTATAGTATAATATTCTTATAGCTATAATATAGTATTTATTATTTGCCGCATGTTCGCTCATTCGTTGTTTGTCGTGTGCTCTGTTCACTCAACAGTCGCCGTCTCTATGAAACAATACAAGCGTAAGCCTGTATCACACATACGCTCCGTACACACAGCGGCTGCTGTATAAGCGAACATGTGGCAAAACATAGTCTATAAATATAGTATTGTACTATATTATAGCTATAAAAATATTGTACTATAAGATTTTTATATACGAACCATTCCCTCAAATAATTAAAATTAAGAAAGAACCACGCACTCAGCGACAGCATATTTATACTTTTTTCACTTGTATATTACAACAATAATATTGTTTACAATTGGCTAGAGCTGCCGTCTCGGTTGTGCTATGAAAGAATGATAACAATTCGGTTATTACGAATTCAACAAACGTTATAATCTCACCGAGTTCCCAAAAAGACTTTAAACACTTGATACAATTTTATTAATGATATTTCTCGTTTTTATTTGGTCTGATTACAAATTATCTGCAATATGAATCAAAATGCACATTCATCTAATAAAAATATCATTAAATAGTTGAACAGTATTTGAATTGATACGTCGAAGTTTAATATTATTGAAACGATCAAATGATAGTCGTTCATGTATTTTCTATTTTATTTTCGCAAAGCGTATCGGAAAGCAATCCATGTTTCATGAAAGCAACCACCATGAGTCCCTGTATATTAATATAGGCGAGAGAAAGTAGAACAATAATGCGCCATCTGTTGACGTGGTTATCAATCTATGTAATTACAGAGATAGAATTGTTGGATGGTGTCTTGACTAAATTGTTATATCGGTTGTCTTCAACTACCATTTGCACACGTCACCAGATGGCATTTTTACAATATGACATCTCTCAGTCATGATGGTTGCATGAAAGCCAGAGAGCATACAAACGTCAGTGTAATCAGGCATATCATTAATAAATATTAATCAAACAATTTCAGGTTAACGAAATTAATTGTGGCCTTTTGTATTAATATATATTTTCATATAGTTAATCATTATAGATAAAGGGAATCCTAACAGTATAAAACAACTAGCCGGTAAATTACAGGTACAATTTGAAACATAATTCAGTTTCGTAATTGTATTAAAAGTGAATATATATTTAGAGTATGCTTTGGCTCCCCATCAATATATACAGTCGACATGCAAATAAAATCGGTTTCAGTTTGCAATTCAAGTTGTTGAATAGCATTTGAAGCGATGAGAGACCCATTGCTTTCTGACTTCATTTTGCTCTCTCACAGTTTTTTTTTGAACAATTGACATTGGCACAAACACACACAAAACCAGTGATGTTGTCTATACTGCACAAAATAAGAGCGATTGTATATACAACTGTAGGCAATGACAATATACAATGTCTTACTTTACAACACACGTTTCAGTGTACCTACGGAGTCGTTGTTTTGCGAATAAGAGAATGGAAGAATGAGAAACAATGATTCCATAGGTATGCACAGCATTGTTGTTGTTTTTGGACACTGCCTGTAGACATGTATATACAACCCTTCCGTATATACAATTGTATTGTATACGGTTGTTTATAAAATCTCAACACTGCACAAAACATTTATTATATCCGTCCTTGAGAGAAATGAAACAGATTTCTGCCATTGAAACTTTCAGTTAGCGTTCGCCTTGCAATTCACAGGCAGCACGAGAGAGAGAAAAATAGAGAGCGTGAAATGGAGAGAGTTGATGATGAAATCAAACTACATACTTGAAATGATTTCATTTGTTGTAATTCGCGAATTGAACCAAATTACCTAAGCATTGAGCGAAATTTTATTTCAACATTGACATTCATTGAATCTTTAAAACGAGAGCGATGAAATGATGGAGTTTAAATGGGTAAACGGATGACTACAAATGGGGCAACAAACAAATCTGAATTTCAGTGTCACGTTCCAAGGGGCTTATGACTGACTCGGATCAGCGTTGACTCGTGAAAGTCTCATACAAACTGCTCACAAGTCACATCATACATAACATACACAAAATGTATGGCTGTAGCGCGAGTCACTAGTCAATCATTAATGTCAATTTCAAATATTATCAACATTTAATTGAAGACATATAATTTTTCTAGCATCCAAAGGAATCATATTAATTCTCTCAAAAATTCCCACTGTGTCAAAGCAATTACGTAGCATAGATCACAAACACAATAAGATAAAAACACTTCTATCACAAATCAAATGAAACAGTAATGAGGAACACATTATAAATATCACGTCTTACCTCAAAAAAGGACTCTGTATTCTAAATCGAATGATGAAATCTATTTCCAATGTGACATCAAATATTTTGCCGATCGAAATGTTGTTGGAATATTCACAGTTAATTTTATCAACACTCTGTTATTTCGAAATTGAACACAAAACCAACTGTGAATATATCCATTCCACAGCAAACAGCGAACACACAAAATTGTTGAAATTGAAATGACAATAAGACCAATTGATCGCCCAAAACCACGCTTCAAACACTCTCATATAATTCTCAAGAAATCGTATTGAAAACAAAACAAAGTTTTATTGTAAACAAATTCGGTTGGTGCGATTGTAGTTTCAAAGTGATGGAAGTTGTTTATACTAACAATACTGTCACACGATGCGAGCACATTGACACATATACACCGCGCCAAACGAAAAATGTCAGTTGCATTTCGAAAATTCAAAATAATAATTCCACAAATAAAGAAAATTAAATGCAATAAATGACGTGTAAAAGAGTTCTTTTGCAGAATTTTAAATTAAATTAGGCAAATCTCTTTCCGAATACCCAATTGTGAAAATGTAACGATATTTCTATAGATGAGTGTGTACATTTTTTTAACGGCAATTTATATGGGAAAGTTTGTACGTAATATTTCCGATTATATGTACTTAGTACAAAGTACGAAATGTACATGTGAATGGAAACATTTTGTGCACATTTGTCATGTTAGTTTTGAAATGTTGTCATATGTTGTCAAATGAAATATTATTGGAAGTGAAAGAAACAAGTGGATCCGTTCCATTGGAATTCGTGGAAACTATGCACATAATCTCCGTTCCATTTGACACGAAAATGACTTCCAGAATGTGAACACAACCCAATACATTAAATTTTAAATTGAAAATCTAAATCTTACGCTCAAATAAAAAAATAAACAATTTATTCGGAAAGAGATTTGCCCAATTTAATTTAAAATTTTGCAGAAGAACTCTTTTACACGTCATTTATTGCATTTAATTTTCTTTATTTGTGGAATTATTATTTTGAATTTTCGAAATGCAACTGACATTTTTCGTTTGGCGCGGTGTATATGTGTCAATGTGCTCGCATCGTGTGACAGTATTGTTAGTATAAACAACTTCCATCACTTTGAAACTACAATCGCACCAACCGATTTTGTTTACAAAAGAGCTTTGTTTTGTTTTCAATACGATCTCTTGAGAATTATATGAGAGTGTTTGAAGCGTGGTTTGGGCGATCAATTGGTCTTATTGTCATTTCAATTTCAACAATTTTGTGTGTTCGCTGTTTGCTGTGGAATGGATATATTCACAGTTGGTTTTGTATTCATTTTTGTTTTTATTTCGAAATAATAGAGTGTTGATAAAATTTACTGTGGATATTCCAACAACATTTCGATAGGAAAAATATTTGATGTCACATTGGAAATAAAGGAGCTGCGTAAGAACGGCATTAATTTAGAACACACAAAAAGTTCTAAATGGTCTTATTTTAACAATAGATGGCGCACTCAACACATCACATTTAATTAAAAGAAAGAAAATTTGTTATTATTTCATTGTGATGTATTTAACATTATTTATTTAATTTTTCGCATTCTGGCGAGCACACAACGGAATCCAACTTCAAACCGATATCTTTCAAAGTGGCCGAGCAAACCACACAAACATTGCGTTGCGCATAATTTAGCCGATTGATTGGTGCCCGAATTCGTCTAGATTTTCGAACCATAAGACTTGGATCACGTGAGTAACAATGGTCACGAGTGACTGGATCCAAATTTATGGCATCATTTGATGCATCACGAACCACTTCGACAACTTCCTCTTTGATCGCAGCAATCTCAGATGTGACTTGCATTCCAATGACAACCTTTTCTGTAATTGTTATACAAATATTTTTATCTATTATTGTTATGGTCTCTATGTATTCTATTTCCATTCAAATTGGTTTGCCTACCTTCATGATCAGAAATTGTGTCATCAATTTCCTCAAAGTATTCCGCATCTGGTGCTTCAATAATTTGTTCATTGTTGATATCAAATCCAATTGAAATGTATAGAGGATCCACCGAGTTTGTGAGATTATCATCGTATTCCATGGTTTCAGTATTTTCGTCGATGAAAATAGCACAAAATTCCGACGATTTTTGCTCCATTGTATTAATGGTCAAGAGCGAATGTTTTTTCAGTTGTTATGTCCGTGTCGTTCAAATGTTGTACAAAGAATGACAAAAAATGACATTTCGAATTCGAAAATCAATGTTTACATCTAATTTGAGCGCCAAATAAACATTTACAATGATTTACATTGCACACAATTTCTTTCAAATAA